GTGTCTCTCTCATTAAGTTTCACATATGCTGTTTTTAACAGTGATTTTGTGTGAAACTGTTCTCTTTCAAAAGGCCTGTCTAGTGGCTTTTCCAACCTACTCGTGGTGTCCAGCAGCTGTTAGCGCCTCCTGTCAGCCATTCTGTCAGGTTCTTTGCATCTGTTCTGTGCTGTCTCTCTCTGAGTGGTTGTCAGTTCCCTGTGGCACTCTGTGACTTGCAGTTTCAGATCATTTACCTCCTGTCTGAAGCCCTTGAGAGTGTGGGCCAAGGAGAAGATGATGCTGGTCAGCTCCTGGTTGTCGAGGCTTGGTGTCAGGTGTCCATTTGTGTCGCAATCTCGCTGTTCCTCTCTCTGCCGTTGCAGGTCATTGGCTGCTTTGGGCTGAAGGATGTCCATCACAGTGCTCTGCTGGGTTTCCAAGTGGTCCTGTTGAGCTGGCAGGGCTGGATGTCTGTGGAATGTCTGCGACATACTGGCACACTTGTGGGAACACCAGAGAGAGAGAGGCAGAAGGCAAATGCAAGTACGTACAGAGGTGTAAAGCTATCTGTATGGGGAATGGCTGTGTAGGCTGTGTAAGGTGTGAATAACTGGTGAGGGGCAGCTGGTGAGGTAGGCTGCTATGTTTTTGTGTTTGTGAACACAAAGAGAGAGTTTGAGTAAATTTGTTGATGGGGCTGTAAGCAGGGGTCAGCTAAGGACCGGGCTATACATGTGGTCAAACTATTACTCAAAGCACTGATGGTTCACAGGTTTGGTCACTATGAAGGTATCAGATCAAACAAAACTGAAATAAAATCAGAAAGAGACAGAGAGAGAAGGAATGGCTTGCCTTATTTAGTTTAAGCTAGATACAACTAAGCAGTTGTCACTTGTTAAAAGGAATGCTGCAGCAGGGTCATAAACTTAGGGGGTCTGTTAGCTAAGCTAGCAGGGATACTTCAAACACCTCAAGGTACATAAACAGAAACACTAGGAAGTGTTTCTAGTCTTCTCTGGGGCATGTAGCATAATGCATGGTAACTGTACCTTATGTAATAGGCCTGGTGCTGAGGAGTAAGGATATAGCAGAAACAGGAATTAAGGCTACTAATAACCTGTATGGCTCATTAAGGATACAACAGTTGCTAGAACTGCTATAATCCTATACCTTGAGGGAAGATGGTGATGGTCAAACAAACTAAAATAAGGTAAAAGTCAAACGAAAAGGTCCTAATAGCTGTAGGAAACCAAAAGGAAAAATAAATAAATTGATTTAATTAAAGCTCAGATTTAATTAAAATCAACTTAGCTAAATTAGTACATTCAAGCTAAACAAAGGTAAATTAATTAAATAAAATCAAAGTATTTGAGGAGGGGCCAACCTAACTGAGCCTAAACAGAAGGTGATAGCACAAACAGGAAGTGAAGCCAAGAGTGAGGGGGAGAGCGAGAGAGAGAGGAGGAGTGGTTCAAACTTTACACTCACACCTATCTAAGTGTTAGTCAGATGCTAAAAGCTAGCAGTTGAGGTAAAGGGCTTACCTTAGCCTGTATGGCTGCTAAAGAGTTAGCGTTGGCTACACGCAGTTCTTTGTTTTCAGAAAGGTCTGTTACATGTGTGATCAGATTGAACCGGAAGAGCCTGCTCGCACCTCCCGGGGTCAGACACTGCTAAGAGACCAATGCAAGCTTACAACACGCGCAAATGGAGCAGAACTTGCGCTGCTGTAAACATGCATGGGAAACTTAAGCGCAGTCAGTTATGACGTGTCGCATACGACTTCATTCACAAATCAAAACAGCACATTCACTTCACAGACAATGGCGGATTACTAGTTAGCTAGGCTAGAATTACACCGTTAATTCGCTATTCAATTGCATCACCTTAATGACTACAATGATACACGATAGATACAAGAAGGCCTTAATTTAGGGAGATGAGGAACATCTGCAGCGAAATTTCATCGTTGCACAGATTTAATTTAACTGCCAGTTGGATTTCTTCGCCATGCAGATTAATTCTTGCCGCTAATCTGAGATTTCTTTGTCAGATTTAAGATTTATGCATTCAAAACTGAAAATGGGGATTTCTTCGCTCAATAACAGATTAGTTTATTCTGGTACCATTTATATGGGCTGCTAATCTGAGATTTCTTCAGGTTAGTTTCTTATCATACGATTTAAACGCATTATAGCACTGAAAACTTTCTACTGCTCATAGGAAGGCACATTCAAGCTATAGATTATCTGAGTTTATCAGAAGCTGGTTTGCATGTATAAGACATTAATGAAATTTATGAGACAAACACAAGTTTTTTACTGAGTCCGCTTGCAAATAATGTTTAAATGATTGCCACCGTTCTCCACCAATTATGTAGCAAATTAGCTCAAAAGTATATAAATGAGGCCCATTATGCCCTCTGAGCCAACACACCATTATTATTCAGCTTGACATAACTTCAAAAATTGTAGATAGTAAATGGACAGATCGATTTCTCTGCAAATATTAATAAGGTGATGAAGCAAATTAGCTCAAAAAGGAAATGTATATAAATAATTACAATTAATTCTGATTAATTGCAATTATTTATATCAGTTGCCAGTAGTAACTGTAGCAGAATTAAATTGCCATCAACCAATCTGTTCGTCCAGCGAACATTCAGTGTAAGTTCATATCAACTCTAGGAAAGAAATATTTCCGTGGCCACAGAAAATACTTTCCTACAGTATTAATGCATTAGAGCATGTAGTAAGGATCAAAATCGTAAAGGGACAATTAATTTGGAAGGCAGAATCAGAAACTCATGTAATTTGTGCACAAGAGTTTTATTAACGAAACACTAACACAAACTAGTCTAACAAACAAACAATCACTCATACAGGGAAAGGGCAAATGAGACTTGATGGATGAAACCATCAGGAAAACCAGAGAATGAAGCTATGAAAAGAGGCAGTTAACCACCTGAGTAAAACCATCAGCGCCGTTTATAATGGGGTCTACAGCTTATACTAAACCTCTGTTTCGTTTAGTTAAATGTACGATACTTGCATTGCCTTGGCCTGGAATGAGCGTACGGATGCAGTCTCGGATGAAAGTCTTGATGAGGTTCGGTGGTGTAGGAGTCACGATCATCTTCTTCCTGGTTTGAAGAGTGATGAACCCCAAAGATGTTCTGACTCTATGGTGATTGGGAGTTTCTTCCCGGTGGAAAGTGAAAAAGAGCTAAGAGAGACATCAGCTGAGATCCTAGGATCTTTGGTGAATGGAAAGTCATGGCCCGAGGCCTGGCGCAGACTTAGGGTGTCCTTAGAGGGGTGCTAGCTCACATCCTCATCTTCTCAGAATCTAACAGAACCGCAGACTGACTG